GTTCCAGAGTAAAATATATATAAAATGGAGCTGATTATTTATTAAATGACATGCAAGTCAATGAATTGTCTGAATGATTTGATTGACCCAACACTAGCCTTTGTGTAGACCAAATTTTTACCCGGTAAATTTTTACCCAGCATAGATAAATCCAGAGTAAAAAAATCACTGAAATTGATACCCTGTTCCAGAGTAAAATCACTGAAAATGATACCCTAGTTGGCGGCACTTACATGCATACATGTACATAACTTAAAATTATCAAAAATGTTTTCAAAAAAGTGCTCAACTTTGTCCAGGAGCATTAACAAGATCTTTAACAAGCACAACACCCTCAAACTCAACTATTCCTGCATGCCTAACTTAAAGTTCATAATCTCGTCACACAACAAAAAAGTACTATCAACAAACAACACCAAACAAGTACAAACAGACAAAGAGTACAACTGCAGAAACAAGAACGAATGCCTGCAGGCGAATGTCATATACCAAGCGACAGTAACAACAGAAAAAAAAATATCCCATACAATTGCACAGGATGGTCCGTTGCTATGGACTTTCCTCCCTGATGATTCTAAGATTTTGTTTTATCTCAAAGTGTAGTCAGTCAAGTTGTAAACGAGGCAAAACTTCAGTAGATGTAGAATAGAAAAAAAATTATTTGAATTTTCTAMAAATTGTGAAGGAATTTTTAACGTTTTTGAATGTTATGACGTCACTAGCACCAGCTATTTTTAGAACATCCCTAAAAAYGTTAGAATTAGTCTTCATTGTACGATTGCTAACATTGCCATAACAAACTAATGTTAATCCCAAAAATTCCATGTAAATTGGATAAAACAGTAAAAAGTTACACAACAAATTGAAAAATTCAAATTTCCCGTCAAATGACCATAAATGGTAAAAAAAGAAGAAATTTAAACACCCACAGGATAAAATATATCATAAATGTACTGGTACCATAGGACATGGAGTCAAATTTGTAGTTTTTTGAATTTGGGACTGTATGCTATTTTTCCTCTTTCGTCAATAAATATGTTATTGTGACATATTTTTACGTCATTATGACGTACTTAATGACGAAAAACGCAGAATAAGCATATAGTCACAAGTAGAAAATTTAACCAATTTATAGTAGCTGTGAGTARTGTACAGTATGCTAAAAAAGTCCATGTTGAGGCATTTTTATTCCAATTATTATTCCTTTGATATTTGACAGACAACACCATTAGAGGATGATTATGAAGTGAGCTGGACTAAACGACTTGGTTGTGGTATCAGTGGACCAGTCAGGTACTTTTGACCCCTTCAATGTTATTCTTAGAACTGTTTAGTCAGTGGTAAACAGCAAACTCTACTGAAATATTTGACACAGTATTATCCCAAATAACTGTAATACGCCATTTGCRGCTGGGAGTCACGTGGCCACACCTACCTTAAATCAATCAGCAATTACAAAATGATGGTCAGTAAGTGGTAAGAGGGGATCAATTGAAATAAGTAAGAAGACATAGTTTCAAGTCTCAACACCAAATATTTCAAAATCGATACCAATTTTTCTAAAGAAATATATGCAAAAACAGAACTGAAGAGCAASGGATTTTTAGTCTGGCTAACCGTAACTATCTATCTATCTATGTGTCATGTCACCTTTGGACCACCAGAAGTCAAGAATTCGAGACGTAGAAACCGGAAGTATTTGATGATCAACTACTGGGTTGGCTGTGTTACTACATGACGKGAAGCTCAAACGTTATTGACGTACTAACATCGATAGTAACTGTTCGATGATACTTGCGCTTTTATATAATCAAAAATTCATTCGTTTACAAATGTGGTCCTGTAATCTCATTGGAATGCATTTATTATCATCAGAAGCATGTGCATACAGTGTAGATCGCATGCAGCTTCGAGTAGTGTGCTTACGAAACTGAATCAACCTTTCTAGCTTTTAGATGTGACTTGTCTGGGCAGAGGTTTCAAATTAGAACAGGAAGAAACTTTATTTATCAATAACAAAAAGGCAACTTTGATTATTTTATAGGCATCTTTATTTTATTTTGTAAAGTATTTTATTTTCTTGACCTGAGAGGTCAATTTGACTTAAAAACGTATTGGATACCACTTAGGGACATTTAGTCTACCGCATTTGAGTATTAGAAGTAAAAAAATATATTTTACGGCATAATTTACATTCATATATAGAGGATATTACATGGGTGCGCGGAGATACAGATTTTATCTTTCCATTTCTGAACATCATATTTTGATAGCTGATTTATTTAAGGTAGGTGTGGTCACGTGACCTCCAGCTGCAAATGGCCTATAGTCATAGACCCAAAACAACACCAAATCGCTCAATCACATAAAATCACATAAAATCACCTAATTTCTAAAAATTGCATCATTTACCAGAAAGATGCCTACGTTTTGTCATTATATAATGCCTCATGTTCATTTTCCTTCTCTTGTTTTTTCATTCTACCCCAGCATTCCCCTGGGCCACATTCAAATCCCTCCCCGGTATTTAAGTTTCAAACGCATTTTATGTGATATAAAGTGCTTTGCTCCTGACCAGTGGGAAGCATCGGATTGGACAAAATGGTTATGGTTAATGAATTTTTTAAAATATATATCAAGAATCAACCTTTTTCTTATTTACAGTAATAACCATACAAACCCATATCTCCCCAGCTTGAATTTCTGCACGATTTTACTTTTTTTACATTAAAAAACGCTGTCATATCAATGATAAAATGCTTATTAACTGAGTTAGGTTGGGCCGTACGGGAAAATATTTGGCTCTTGGTCATTTGTACGGTTCCATACGGCATAACCTTGAGCCAAATATTTTCCTGTACGGCCCTCCCACTCAGTCAATAAGGTAAGTACATAAATATATAATGCCACAAGTGATGCTGTATAATGCTTCAAGGTTCATACTAGTTAGAAGAAATAAAATACAACAGTCATCAATTTTAATAATCAGAAATTTATTGTAATTGTGATTGCCTACTTGCCTACCTTGAAATGAAATGTGCAGTTATTGAATACAGATCCAGATTTAACAAGTTTGTCTAACTTAGAAATTTCTGAGAGAAATGACGATGATAGCTAACAACTCATCTTCGATTCGGAAATCAAATTTTGTTAACTGTATTAAAATACSTACAGCTGAACGGCAAAAAGTGAAAATCTGAGTATTTGGATTTGGCTTGAAATAAAATCTATACACCTACTTGCAGAAACGCTGCCATRCAAAATAGGACATTTGAATCTAGTAAAAAGGATTATTAAATTCATTAATAATTCATAATGTAAACACAATGGAAAATCATAGTCCATCACCTGAGACCCGAAAATGTGTGTCTAATACTCATCACAGGGGAACAAATAAGACTGATTGGAAGTGAAGGTATATCTATTAAGCTTTAAAAAAATGTCTTGGCGGACATCCAGAACAGTAGCTTTCCTATAGAAATCCGACTTTGAAGAGACATAGGTCATGCCGCCATTTTCGTTATACAGCAGGTCTAAGGGGAAACCCCTCATCTTATATTAGAATATTGATCAACACTGGACTAATAAACGCCGAAAAATAATACATGGCAATGCATATATCGTTCTTGCATTTCCTACTATCTTTATTATATATCCCTCTAATTAGATCTCAATACGGATTATTCATATATTGGAATTTTGCTCGAGCATTATATCATAAAATATAATTAAAAATCAATAACCATTCAGTTACCTTGCGTTCATATTTGTCATATCTTTGTGAGATCTAGAAATCAATCTTAAGCTAGTTTTTTTAGATTGCTGATGTGCATGTCTCAAACTAATCTTTGATGTTTTATTTATTTGTTTTTTAATAATTTAACACTATACAGCATTCAAAGTACACTCACAAAGCTTTGTGACTTGTGCCTAATTAATTAAATTTGGTTCTTGCTCATGTTAAATTTGTGTTGAAAAATTCAATCATACCCCRATCCGTTTCATCTGATTTACTGTCTTATAAGTCTAAATTTTAAATTTCACTGTCTTTTCATTTAACGTAAAATTTTCACTGAAACACATCGGCCACACTATAAATAGAGATTGTAAAGCGGCTGGAGGCTATATAGGATTTAGCGCTAACTTTGCAGCCACACAGCGGTGGGTCTTGAATTATTCGAGGCGCAGTTCATATACGCACATTTTTCGTGAGCACTTATCTCTCGTGTCTAACCAAARAAACCCACACAAAGAGCTTGCACCGTCGCGAATCAGAATAGACATAGAAGCTGTAACAAGCGTGGTTAATGTTCTCGAAMATGYGTTCTGTAGTCCGTGGAGCAATGAAAATCAGAACTTGATTAGTCTTTCTACTGGACTAGCAGCCACTGCTGAAGTCAGAAATGATCTAATGCAGGCTAATACCAAAGGCAAGAATGCATGTAAGGAATTCATTGCAAAACGATGTTCGACAACCTCTAAAGTCGTTCAAGGACCTCAAAGCTGTTACAAAGGTCCGCACAAAGGATGCTGTCATTCTGATCCGGCTAGATCCTGACTTATTTGCGCGGATGGCGTTATTAGGACAGTTTAGCAAAATAGACATGCGATCAGTGTTCACATATCCTCTCGGTCCATTACCATGGGCACTAGCAGATCCATATGGATTACCAAGAAAGACCAACAAAGCAAAGTTAGCGAAGCAGTTGGAAAAGAAAGTTGTTATCACGGATAGCTATCCTCAAAATGCTACAAGTATTCATGACGGCATGGCTAAGCTACAGAAATTTAAGCCACCAGCTGGAGCCACATTTGCAGTTGTCGCCGACAAGTTGTTCACAGCCTTAACAAGCAGCTCAAGTAAGCGGATTGACGTTGTATTTGACGTTTATAAGGATATCTCTATAAAGAATGCAGAAAGACTAAAACGTGGAGCTGGATCAGAGGGAGTCACATATCAAAACATTTTGACCGGTTATCAAGTTAAGAATTGGAGTAAAATTCTTAGTGTCTCAGCCAACAAAGCTGAAGTTGTACGATTTTTGGTGGGTCAGTGGAAAGAAAAAGAATACCAGACACTCTTCGTCACTGAAGGGGAAAGATGCTATAAAATCACTTCGACAGCTGCGACAGCTTAACAGCTACCACGAAGAGGCCGACACCCGCATGCTCTTACATGCTCAACATGCGGGAGGCAAGTGCGTCATCCATGCTGACGACACAGACGTTCTAGTATTACTTCTTGGCCACGCCCACAATCTCGGCAAGTGCTACATAAAGAAAGGAAAGGCAGCAAAACGCAGAATCGTCGGAGTCTCAGAAATTGCAGACCAAATAGGAATGCAAACAGCTGATGGTATTCAACAACAAGAAGCTTGTGAGGCGCTTATTGGGGTACATGCATTAACAGGATGCGACACAGTATCAGCTTTCACTTCAAAAGGCAAATGGCGAACATTGCAGCTTGTCTTGAAAAACAGGGCTTTTGTGGAGACAATGAAGGACATCGGAAAAGAATGGAATTTAAGTGAGACGACATTTAAGGCAACCGAGGAGTTTGTTTGTCACTTATATGGGAAGAAGGGCAAGAGCGTGGATCTATTAAGATATGAGCTCCATTGTGCAAAAGGTGGCAAGATTGAGCCCGAGGCACTCCGCCGTGTCAGTCATCTTTGTGCCTCCATGTGTCTCGTGTGAACTACCAGGCGGCTATCTGGAGAAGGGCTACAGAGGCAAGTCCAGACATCCCTTCGCCTCACGGACATGGGTGGAATGTGAGCTCTTCTGGTCTAAATTTCGTGTGGCTTGGTTCCAAACCTGCTCCTGAACAAGTACTGGAGCTTTTAACTTGTAGCTGCAAAAAGGAGTGCACAGTAGACTTGTGCTCATGCCTTAAAGCTGGTATAAAATGTACCAAATTGTGCTCCTTAAAGTGTGTCAATATGATCGACAAAGATGACGAAATTCATCTTCACAGCGTCAGTGATGACGAGGATGACGAATAGTTTATTTCAATAGATTAGGTAAGAAAACATAATAAGTACTCTTATTGCAGRAATTTAAGAAAAAATGCTCACCATTCCTCTTGCTTTATACAGCATAACTGAGCCAAGATACCTCAACCTACTTTTTAACAGTTATTAAGATGTTTAKCGGCTCAAAAGAACAATAACTGTAAGTATTTATATATACCCGTGGTATTAAATCGATACTGCTCCATGAAATGTAAGACAGCCGTTSTATAGTCTCCTATTCGTGATAGACGATAAAAAATGGATGTCGTATCTTAAATAAAATTATTGTAGTGTTCTTGAATGTCTAGTTTTCTAAGGTAACCAAAAATTAAAGCATTTTCTTATAATGTTACTTATCAATGAAGAATGGAAGAATACAGCTCGGCAAAGTGTTAAGTGTAATTTTAGTTCTAGATAGTCCAAAAACATTCATAAATAAATCCAAATTACTTTAAATCATTGAAAATAACTCTAAACCACTTAAAAACGTTATTTTGGCGGTAATAAAGAAAGTTTATTGACCTTTATTCTGAACATGCGGGTTTTTCTCTGAGTCAAAATGGCGGCTGTCGGTGGTTTTGAATTAATTAACTTCAAAGTCGGATTTCTATAGGAAAGCTACCGTTCTGGATGTCCGCCAAGACATTTTTTTAAAGCTAATAGATATACTTTCACTTCCAATCAGTCTTATTTGTTCCACTGAGATGAGTATTAGAATCCTTTCAGGTGATGTAGACTATCATTGCCATAACGCATCTTTATATGAGCAAGAGATTTGTCCTGATTTGCAAATGACTTTAACTTCGATGTTCTCTTACAAATGATATTTTATCCTTTTTTTTCGAAATATGCTTTAGCTTATGTTGGAATTTGATAAGCAATATWAAATATTCACGTTCGACCTTTATGGGCTRTAAAACTGCTCGCTTGCAGCTTGTAGTTGTAAGTGCCCATAATGGTCTCCCGCTCATATTTTTTATAATACATAAATTAACCCAAGACAAAAGAAAGCGTTCAGTCTCAGTGATCTTCTTTTGTCTTTTTTAATTTATTCCTCTATACTAAATACAAATGTCCTTTTTTCTATGACAATGTTTTYRCAAGTAGGTGTATATCGTCCTTAACTAGATTTTTAACCTTCTCCATGTAAGTTGCATAACAGTTAACTATACACGGCTGATGATTGACAGCTTTACAAGTGCAGAAAACATGGCATTTCCACTTTCAGCAAGACAATTATGTACAGACTTCTTCCTGGATACCTCTCRCCATTTACCTTCACCACTTCGCTGACAACAAACTTTGTCAGCCAAAAGTTCAARRATTCCACATTCATATTAGCAATATTCGTATCTAATGACTGTACTTTTCCAATTTCAATTTCAAACGACCACTGCTCTTTTGAAGGATCTTTGTTGGCTCTACCTATTTGCCATTCGGAAAAGAATTTGAAAGACTTCGTATAGACGAAYGTGTGGACTTTGGGACTTTCTTCTTCTTTAGTTTTTGGAKGCCTGAACTCCTGCTTTGGAGTGAATGATTATTTATGTGTAATTAGAAGTTATAGTTTGATTTTGAATTGGTAATTATTTTTACACTGCCCAAAATGACCCATGATAAACATTAAAACTTATTTCGTCCTGAACTCAGCTTCATCTTAACATTGGTTTTAAAATAAGATATGTGTGTATTGTATTCATTAATATGGACAAATAACTTTGAAAGAATTCCATAGTTTTGTAAAAGTTTCAAAAAACCTCATTAGATTCAGCTTTTGGATGGCATCATCCAAGTTTCAATAGCCCACTTTGCGGATAACACAGATATTAGAAATTGAGCAAATAACAAAAAGCAATTACCACCACTGGAAAGAACAGTGTAAAATTAGTATGTTTACCAGGTTTGAGCGTGATTCGATGAAAATTCAAGGAGATACAGCGTTTAAAAGTCCAAAATTTACATGAGAAATGCATGGGCTGTCGGCATGAGATCGAGGTTGACCTTGACTTGTTACAACCTCGCCAAACATTTCTAAGCAAAATTTAGTATTTTTGAAGTGCCGTATSTCWTTGAATTTTAATCAGATTATTTTCAAACCTGGCAAATTTGCTGATTTTATRACGCTCTTTCCAGTGATGTCAATGATTTKCCATAACGGCATAACGTAAAATTTCAAATTATCCGTGAAATGGTGKATTGTGATATTAGACTATGGGGAATATATGTTTTCTTATGTTGGCATGTATTGGTGGGATGAAGATCTGAGAATCTACAGTCATAAAAGAAATAATATAGCCACCAGGAAACACTTTGTAGGCATTCTCRGTGTATCTGATTTGATATCTAATTGATGTTACTTATATGCTGTAGAGAATGTACTAGTAAAAATACCAGTATTCGATATGCACTTAAATGTTTGGCAGACACTCCCAAGTCAAAGTCTGAGGTAAGTCAAGATTTAAGAATGGTAACTTTGCTCTGTATTTTCATGAATTTTCCACTATTAATTGTTATTTGGTTCTTTATCCTTGGCTTGCCCACATGATCAGGATTCCTACTCAAAATTGATAAATTYAAAGCAACTTCACCTATAGTGTATCTTGCTAGTTAAATATGGTAATATCCTKGTTGTCCAGTTATTCACAATTACTTTTTAAATTATCTCTTGAAGTATGAAGCTTATATCATTGTCATCATTGTCACAACCTTGATAGACTGCTATCATCATCATCATTGTCACTGCTGATAGGCTGCTAATAATCATTAACAGTAATAGACCCAATCAAAATCATTACTACTAATAAACTGTTTTAAAAACTTAAAAACAAATTCAATACTCAGACATTTGAGGTTTTTGAAGAAAATGCTTCAAAACTCAAGTTGTCAAGTTGTTAATTCATGTRATAATAATTCATTACGTACATGTTGAATAATTCATGTACCAATCAATTATTGGTTAAAACCTTGCATGAGTCAATAATGAGAGATAAGTCTAAAACKTATAGATCCTTACAAGTATTTTTGGTAGTGTTGAATGCAAGTCAGTAGATTCCGGCAGATATTGAGTATGTGTGTCTGTTTTTCTGTTTTTCTGTAGAGATGAGTTTCCTGTATGGATGTGATCTATTTCTGATACCCTAAAGGGTAGCTCATGAATCATTAATTTCTTATATAATCTGTTATTTATGGTGATAAGCTGATATATTTKTAGGTGTCTTGAAGTTGTGAGGTGGCAAACATAATTTTTACTGATTGTAMATGATTTCAAAAAAGGAAAGACCCCACTGTTCATTTTGTATGAAAATTGTGTGACAAAATATATTAAGTCTTATTATTTATTTCAGGCAAGATGTCATTACATGTGTTCAGGACACTCAAACATTGTAACAGTAGTTGATGTGTATTACAATACCATTCTCCTACCAGGAGAAATGAGACCTTCGTAAGTTTTCAATTACACTTAATTTAATAGGTTAACCTTAATTTCAATGCAACTCAGGATTAGTCTTGCATAATAATAACTGCATCTTAATGACAACCTAAAAAAACTGATAGTGACCAACCATCGCGATTGGAAAACATTCCAAAAACATTCTTTGTAGAAGGTAAATCAATGACTAGGGATCTTGTATGTTCCTGTTTTGAATTTCTATAAGGCAATTATGAAATAACTGGAAATAATGTAGAAGTAACTTGAAAAAGGTAGAAGTAACTGGAAATAAGGTAGAATACAAGGTACGAGTACTTCCTCTAGTTTCAAGTTACTTCATGTGGTACAAATTACAATCAGGGATTGGCTGAATACCTCATGAATAATTAATGAGTTATTGAAGCACACTTCTCGAAGCTACATGCAATCTGCACATGCGCATGCTTTTGATGATTAGAAATGCATTCCGATGAGATCACAGATACCACATTGGTAAACAAATGGCTTTTTTATCACATAAAAGTGCAATTATTATCAAACTCTTACTAACAATGTTTGTACATCTATAACGTTTGAGCTTCTGGTCATGTAACATAACCAACCCAATAGTTGATCATTTGTCTTGAATTCTTAACTTCCGGTGTTCCAAACGCGACATGACACATAGATAGATTGGAAAAAAATATGTAAAACTCAAGTCAACCTAGACTACAGATAGCCTGACTAAAAATCAAAAGAAATGATATGTAAAGATTATACGCAGAATCTATCAAATCAATCACGAAGCAAGAACACAACATGACTTGACTAAAAATTGAAGCAAATTTCCATTATAGGTACTGTGAAGATCATTTCACAGCTTGAGAAAGAGAAATATATGAACTCTGACTACATACTGAAGCGCATTAAGTGCTATGTTATGTTAACTGTAAAACATTCAGGCATCATGCATTATAGTAGTTGATTTTTGATACAAAATGTGAGTGCTGCAACTAGAGGGATAGATTGTCAATGTTCCATTTAAAATTTTGTGCTGATTTAAGATCTCACAACCATGAAAATGTGGATTGTAAATTTCACTAAAATTGTTGTATTTCAGGCCAAGGATTTTAATGGTGCTTGAGCTTATGGAAGGAGGTGAATTGTTTGAACAAATAAGAAACAGAAGAAAATTTACAGAAAAAGAGGCTATGATGTTTACTTCAGAAGTATGAAGCTTACATCCATCTACATTAATTTTTATAGGTTAAAAAACATGGAAAATCAAGACTGAGATCTATATATTWATTAGTGTTTATGTTATTTAGATTCTTAAAATTTYATTTTAATCAAAAGTTGAATAGATMGTGATGTATGCGCATTAGGWGTTAAGTTGTAAGGTAATGGTCTGAAATGTGAAAGAAATTCAAGGATTCCAGGTTGAGAAAATGMCTATTTTGACAGAGAATCTAGTCCTTTGGTTTCTTTGTGTTCTCCAACACCYCTGCATATTTTATTCACTTCCATATGCATKGCATCTTCCCTTGGTTTTTATTGCATATCAGTACAGAGAGGGAGTTATTAAATAATTTGTATTTGATTTTTTTCAAAATCAAAATTTTTGTATCTTTCATTGTTCCAAATACTATCAAAATGATTTTTCCAATATTGTTTTTTTTCCTTTTTCAGATAGCACAAGCATTGTATCACTGTCATTCTATCAATGTTGCTCATAGAGATCTCAAACCAGAAAATCTTTTGTTGACGCACAAGGGTGAGGTAAGATTTACTGTCTGTTGAGGTATCTATTTCCAAGTCCAACCTTTGGTAATAGAAGTCTGCTGGCTTGGTGTCAGTGTTTTCAACTCTCCYCACAAAACAGTTTTGTTAGCACCCAAAGAGTGTAAATCAAGTAATCCACAACTAGTGATGGGGCTTCAGGAGGCAAGAATTTATAAAAAAATATATACAGCTATTTGCAATAATTCTGCCCCCCCTACACTAATATTCATATATATCAAAGTAGCCTTAGAAATTATGGGATACCAATGCTGATATTTTTTTGAGAAAGTACTCATTCTGGGCAACTCAAAAAATATATCCCATAATGATATCCCATAATATTTAAGGTCAGTTTGATATATATGAAATATGGCAGAGGGGGTCAGAATTATTGCAAACAGCTGTATAAAAAAATATATTGTATAATTAATATATACAAAAATTGCAAAAAATATCAACAATATTTGTCTTATAGTAATTATATTGATCTTATCTAGCTATGTTGTCTTAGCACTGTAGTACAGAATTGTTACTTATTGTCTCCCAAACAGGATACTGTGGTAAAGCTAGCAGACTTTGGTTTTGCTAAAGTAGATCAAGGTGACCTAGTCACTCCTCAGTTTACTCCATACTATGTGTCTCCCCAGGTACAAATTACAAATCATTATCCAACTAGATGTTTGCAGTGTTCATAGTATTACTGTATATGAGCRAGGTTATTGTAAAAGGCACCTAAGCTGCTAAGGTCTCCTTTGTTCGCGGCTCTCTACCCTACAGATCACTACTAATGGGTGTGTTCTTTAGGGCTTATTTGCATTGAYGTAGTTTTGCCACTAGCACAAGTGCTGTGCTGTCTTGCTACTTCAACTCAACTTTGCTATTTGCTATTCACGGGACAAGTCAGGCACGCAGCGATTTGCCATCCCTCTCTCTCCTTTCAAACCAGCACAACAAAGCCAGCAGTCATGGCTTATATTATTATAGTGTGCAATTACCTAAACTTATTTGCATTTTTCATGCAAAGGATTAAGAGCYGCTTCGCACAAAAACCAGACAAAACTGAAAATTTTTGGCAAGGCTCGAAAAATCAAATCTATTCAATATTTTGTATATTGATAAGGTATGATTAGGTTACAATCGCTGTGTAATTTGTTTTTGAAWGAAAATCGTTAAACAATGTCACATACTGGGCCTTTGCGTGACAAATCCTTGATAGCTAAAAATAGCTCTCAAAATAGCCAAACTTCATACCGAATTCATGTAAAAACTAAAATAGCTATTTTGAAAATTTAAATTGCTGCTTTCTTACTAACTCTTATTTATTTATTTCATTGATTTTCAGACCATTTAACTAAAAGGAAAATTTTCTGGAACTCGAAATATTRCCATATGTATTTTCATATGCAAATTAGTACCTTTACAAAACAATCATTTTTTCAATGTGCAAGTATTTTGTTTACAATAAAATTCGAAGTGAATACTAAAGAAGAGATGAGCTTTTCAAATACATAAATTAAACTTAGTCTGGGCAAATCACTCTCAGTTGCATAGAAATGAATACTTCTGGCGATAATAATCGGTTGAAACACCAAATGTTTTAAACAACCGAAATTCATTTACATGGCCTAAAATGTTCAAAGACAATAACCTTAACCCTTTTTATCTTAATAACATACATTTAATGTTGATTGGATGTTTATAAGCTTTGAAAATTGTTCGGTTAATACAAATGACAAAATATGTCTTTACACTAATAATTGTTACTAGAATAAGTCATTCATACGCACCTAAAAGTGATTTGCCCAGACTAATTTTTATTTCTTTGTAAAGCTCATGCCTTGCTTAGTTATCACGCCGAATTTCATTGCAAACAAAACACTTGCACATAGAAATAATATCTTTTTTTACTAGGTACTAACTACATTATTATGTAAACACTCCGAGTTCCAAAAAATTTTCCCTTTAATTAAATGCTCTGAACATCAACGAATTACTATTTTACATTTTACACAAGCTCGGTAGAAAGTTTGGCTATTTTCAGTGCTATTTTTAGTCATCAAACATTTGTCACGCAAAGGCCCAGTATGGGACATTGTTTAGCGATTTTCTTGCGAAAAATGAAATATTTTTAAAAACCAATTACACAGCGATTGTTACATAATCATACCTTATCAATAAACAAAATATGAATAGATTTGATTTTTCGAGCCTTGCCATGATATGTCTGATTTTTGTGCAGGGTAATGTGGAAGTAGACAAAATCCTTGACTTCTGACTTAACTAGAACCTCTTGTACTCAAAGCTTTCTATGAGGAATCTCCTGACACTTAGTCCATTCCCAGATCTTTTTTATCTGATTCTGTCATGAAGCTGTTGGTTGTGGGGAATAAGGATCCAGAAGAACTATTTAACTGACTTATTTTAAAATTCCTTAGATAGCCGTGCAAAATCATTGACTTCAATTGGAACTCTTAAGGCCTGTTTACATGTGCGACTATYAGCACTTTGTTCTAGTGCACATCAAATCGTATGTGTTTTATACAGCCCTGCGATTGTCGCAGCTAAATTGCTTCAAAAATCGCAAGTGTAAATGGGCCTTTAAAAAAATAATGGCAAAGCACAAATCTCTCAACAAATCTTGAAATGTTTACTTAATAATCAGTTTTACTGTATAATTTAAATTTGTCAGCTATATTGTAAATGTATTGTATTTCTCTTGGAATGAACAATGAGTTCCGAGTTTGAGTGGAGAGCTCGAAATGTGCTCCTATGTGAGAGAGTGGCCTAGAGCTAGTATGATAATGTGTTATGATGCTATATAAGGAGGTGTCAGGAATTGTGAAATCAGTGTGGTCCAAGCTCTGTAGAAGTTGGCTATTTAAAGTTGTACAACTTGTTCTACATGTATATTTGTATTAAAGTGTGGCCTTTGAGCCTGGACCGGTCTAGGCAACCATGTTTGTTGTTTGTCATGACTTAACTATGAATGAACAATAGGAATATTATATTTCTTGTAGGTTTTGGAAGCACAAAGAATTCATAGAGCTCAAAAGTCAGGGCGTTTTCCCTTTCTTGCAAAACCATACACGTATGATAAGGTGAATTAGTAATTAAATTAAATGCTATTAGTAATAGCATTTGAGATAAATATTTAATAAAGTTTTGTCACAGCAGTCATAGAGTATACGATATTAGAGCATAGCTTGTCCATTTTGAAAATTGTGCACAGTTTGTTATATCCAAACATCCCATCTTTAGCAAAGAATGAATCAGGGTATTAATTCTAAGACAGTATTATTTGTATGTCTTTGTCAGATATTTTTAAMCCACATTCTTTAAAACATAAAACCTATTGTTTTCAGTGGTTTTGTGTAAATGATAGGCCTATAAAAAAATAAAATGTAATAATCAATATATGGTTTTGACAATTCTCAGATATATGTATGATATTATCACTAGAATATAGTTAATAAAATGCTAAATTGCAAACATTTCAAGTATGCATGTCCATACTTGATGCTATATCCCTGGACATTTTAAAGGCCCAGTTTGCACCATTATGCTTTGCACACCTCTGTTATTTTTATGATTTACACCAAAATACTTCTAGTATCCATGTATCACCATAAAACGAATTTCATATGGTTGAAAACTCTTATTTAGCGTTTAAAGTGCTTAGAAAAGTGAGATGGATTCGAAACACACAGTACAATTTATAGACTTTCAGTAAACTGAAAATGGCCGCCTCGCRKCCCCCAAAGCATTATGGTGCACACTGGGCCTTTAAGATGTTTATAATTATTTACTTTACTGACATGACAATTGTGATTATACTGATAGATGGGAAGTACCTTTTTTTCTATTCAGTTTTGTTTTTTAGATGTGATGTGGGTATCCTTGTAGTAATTATAACTTTATCCATGAACAAGTCTGTATAGTCGATACTATCCAGTACCCCCCTGATCCTGCATCAGAAGACATGCTTAGGTTTTCTGTGACAAAGTTGTMGATCAACAAACAATCAGGCTCTGTTAGAGCAAAAGTATTTGTGTAATCTTTGTCTCAAAGCACTCTAAGTTGTTTGTTTAAGGAAATCTACCATATTCAAATCTACCTATAAATAGAAGCAATGTTTTAAACAAATTCACTTTTTGAAAATGACACATGTTGGTGTCGAAACGGCAAAGCTAGTTGTCTTCATTTTTATCTCAAAATAATTTATTTTAACCAATCATATTAATATTATTTTTATAACTAATTTTTTTTTTCAAATTAAGTGGATGTCAGTTTTTACGCATGAGCATTGCAATTGGCAGCGTCAACCAAAAARCTTTATTTTATCCCCTGAAATCGTTCACTATTTATTCACTATGTCATGGTATATACTGTATTTGGGATTCGTTCAATTACAAATATTATTACACTAGATTTGCAAGTTATCCGCTTGCATGTTGATACAAAAAAAATCGCTGTCTCTGGYATTCTCAACTTTAGCGTCTTTAAAACAACTCATTTCCTGAATTTATATGTTTTATGTGTAAACAGGATGTATTCCKATGAGAGATTTTATTGCCATATACACTTAAAATGTTGTTATGAAATATAAGATACCAATAATGTTTTGTGTTTTGATAGGAAAACTAATTCATGTAATTTCCCAAGAGTAATTATCAGTCAAGTTCAGGTCATTGTTTTAAAACAGTTTTATGCTCCAAAATCAAATTAAAACCCCAAAATGTTTAGTATTAAGCAATATGTGCTGAGCTTGTTTGTGCAGGCAAAACACAACACCAGGGCCCAGTTGGGTAAATAATGGCTATGTGCTGCTTTTTAATTAGGACAAAAACCATAAAACTTAATATATATATATAAAGTACAAACTACTATAACATCCCTGCACGAAGGTGAGGGCTCAAAACCGCACTTCCGGGACATAAGCAAGAGGTGGTCTGGGGAAGAGGAGGGAAAATTGTACAAAGGGGTGCAACTCACCTTAGAATCGCATTCAAAGTGAACAAGCTGCCAACTGAACAAGGCGGGAAAAACAAAAGCCTAGAGGGCATCTCAATTGATAGAATTACCTCTACCCTACCACCAGAAGCTGACGTCACCGGAAGTAAACTAACATGATTAAATATTGCTAAATGTAATTTTTTTTGCCATAAAATTCATTTTGTTGGACAAAATATTATTTCTTTCCGGTTTAGGATCAAATTGTCAATATGCTTTTGGTTTTTTTTCCTCGGAAATCATAGTATTACAAAGTAATACCATAGCATCTTTGGGATATTAGGGATTAAATGTCTCCTCAGCCTTTTATGATTTTAATTATAAGGTTTAAAAACCTTGTTTGTATTGAACAGTATAACAACCACGAGAGCACTTCTCTTTTATCACAATGTATTTTATAGAATATGTTGATGAAAAATCAGGGTTTTTTGTAATGTYGAATACTTGACATTTTCACAAGTGGAAGATTTTATATCTTTACACTTGAAGATATCACAGTTTGCATATTTCTGAATTAATGTGTTCATAATTTATGATAGAGTTGTGACATGTGGTCTTTGGGTGTAGTGATCTACATCATGTTGTGTGGATACCCTCCTTTCTACTCAGAGGTCCCACGTAAGCAGCTATCACAGGGAATGAAACGCAGGATTATGGCTGGAGAATTTAGTTTTCCCGATCAAGAATGGTCCAAAAT